GAGAGAGAAAAAAAAAAAAAAAAAAGTTAGTTACCTGTTCCATTAGATTCCTGACAGCTAAGGCTGGTCTAGGTAAGCCGTGTGCAGATGTTGCACTCTGCACTCCGCCAGATATGGGTGTCCTGAAAAGCCCAGCTCTTGTTCCACCCCCATTTACATTTCCATATGAGACCATAAATTGATGGGAAGTAAAATGAGCATCCATTTCACTACTCTGTTTGAGGTCCGTATCACCCTTTTAAGATTCGAAAGTGGCCATTACAAAAAAGCCGAACAAGCTATTTGAAATATCGGTTGACCGACTATACGTAAAAGGAGATCTTACTTAATCATGTTGGGGGAGCTTTTCTTATTTTCTTACATTTAACAATAATTTTCAAAACAGAAACAGGGACATGCTTATTATGTAAGCCGTACAAATTTTTCAGTCTTGAAATTTATAATTTAATACAAATAATGTATATGCAAAACACTATATCATTGTTTTATACGGGAAGACCATACGGGAAACTAAATGACCTTTAGGCCTGAACTTGATCTGAAGCTTGTATAAGTATACATCAGAAGACTAACATCTAGTCAAGTGTTAGCCTTACATTTGTTAATAATTAAGAAACATGCTTAAAGCAAATGTAACTAGCTCAACCAAACATCCTATGACAAAAAAAGTAAGACAGTTAAATTCTATGTAACCATCTCATTCTACTAACAACAAAAAACACAATCGCAAATTCATACAAAGATTAGAAACAAAATTCTACTAACGGCAAAAACAAAATCGTAAATTCATACAAAGATTAGAAACGAAACAGCTCGAATTGCAAAAGGTTTGCAGTTCCAGCAGACACTACTACGGCAAAGTACACCAATCAAAGATCAAAGTCATCAAAAACCTAACTAGAAATTTAAACCAATATGCAAGTACAAAGTACCAACTACTTTTTACTGCAAAAAAAGATGGAAACTTTGGACATCATCACATATGAATCACCAACCAATTACCCAACTTCAATTTCCACTCAACTTAAAAACAGAAAGCAGAAAACGGGAAGGTGGAAAAAATCCAAAGAAGCAGTAAGATTAAACCCCGACAACTGAATTTATTTATTTTTTATTCAAAAAGAAAGATCCTTTGATTTACCTCGGAAAGCAAGAGACTTTCTTCCGGTAAAAATCCCGGAATGCCATTACCGTAATTCAACCGAGCATCCTCTTTGCCGCCGTCCTCATCGGAAATTTCATGCGCGAGGGCCGAAACCCGAGACAAGCATCGAAACGACGGCGTAGCGGGTAAACTATAACCGACCCTCAAGAAAGAACAATGCTTATTGCTGGTTTTGGAAGCGTGGGTGAGCAAGGAGCTCTCTGAGAATCTCTGAATTTGCCAAGCCGAACTCGAAAGAGCTTCCATGGCAGTGACGGATGGTAGTCAGAATCGACGTCTCGAGAATCGATTTCACCAAAACATAAAGGTTTATGTTTGGGAGGACACTAAATGGGCCTTAACTGGATTGTAAATATATGATGGGTTTCGGCCCGCTAGGTCCAACAAACCGTTTGAAGTCTTTACGTTCAATCAATGTTCGTGAAAATCGTGTTCGCGCTTGTTCGTTTAATTGTTAGTCAAGTTCGAGTCCATTCGTATTCGAATAATTTAGTATATAAACTTCTTACATATGTTTGATTAACCCGACATTTGTTTTTTCGAATTCTAAAATAAAAAAAAATATATATATATTTTTATACTTTATTTTTTGATTAAAAATATCATGTAATTATATAAAAAATAAAATAAAAAATTATATTAAATTAATGTTTGCGAAGATTATCGAACGTTCACGAACAAGTTTGTATTCGTTTGATTATTAAACGAGCCTAAATTTTTATTTGAACTCGGCTCGATTAATAAACGAACGATTTTTTGTCGAATACGAATGAACTCGAACTAACTTTTGTTCACGAACACTCGATTCGTTAACAGCTACCAACTATAAATGCAGCTGAACACCGCACAGTCTAGTATGCTACACGAACAAAGACCACTTTTCCAAGTTTATGCACTTCCCCCATTTTGATTTACTTGTTTGGCCTTTCCTTATAAGTAAAATCTGATTCAGGCTTCAGCTCAAACTGTGTGTATGTGCTCTTCTGAAAATCTGAAAATCTTAAAAGTAAAACCGTTCAAACCAATCCAAGAAATAAAACTTCTCCAAAATCACAANAAAACCATCAAGCCCGGCTATACAATTCTATCTTCTAGAACAGACTCCTTTGAATATTATAATCTCTTGTTTTCCAAATTAAACCTAACACATTAACATGTCAACACTAATAATTATTAACAGAGACAATCAAACAACCAAACAGACAGGCGCAAAAGGTAAAATTATTCCAAGCACCAAACTTTTAGCTCACGCCACACCAAAATTCATTGATTTTCCACCATTATTTTTTTCCTCAGTCCCTTTCATTTGTGCTCCAAGATTGAGATTTTCAAACCCTTTCTTTCTCTACATCTCCTTCAAAAACATCAAAGATCGCAAATTTAACGCTGCCCAGAAGCTCATAAATCATGGGTTTTGTTAAAATTATCCCAACCATCCCAAGCTTTCAGCCATGGCTCGTGGGCTTCTCACTTATGCTCATGTTTTTGGTGCTTTGGTCGCAGCTTTCTGACATTGGCATTTTATCGAACACCAAGCGCGCACATCTAATCCCAGCCACAACCACAAGGACCCTCGCCGCCGCCGCCGGCGGCGGCGGCCCGCCGGCGCTGGCGTACTGGATCATGGGCGGCGGTGGAGATGGCCGGAGAATGATGAGGCTTCTTAAAGCTATCTACCACCCGAGGAACCGTTACCTCCTTCAGTTGGACTCGTCCGCCATGGAAAGCGAAAGAGTGGAGCTCGCAATTTGGGCGGAGGGGTTGGGAAGGGTATTTTCGGAATTTGGAAATATTGACGTGGTGGGGGAAAGTTATGGTGTGAACCGGATGGGGGCGTCGGGATTGGGTGCGGTGCTCCACGCGGCAGCGCTGCTGCTGAGGATCGACGGTGGGGATTGGGATTGGTTTGTGCCGTTGACCGCCTCGGATTATCCATTATTGACCCAAGATGGTGAGATTAATTTATTGCTCATTAGTTAGGTAATAGTAAATTTAGATAAATCTAACTTAAAAAAATATAACTTAAAAGCTAACTACTAATAAGATAGCTGATGGGTAGATTTCAGCTTATGACTGATTGTTGAAAAGTTAAATATTAATCTAGATTTTTGTTAATTTTGATAATAGTGAATTAACATCGGTTTAAACTTGAAGCATGATCTATTGATCATATATGCGAGTTATTTGTAAAATATGGCATGCTTTGGTGCAGATATCCTATATGCTTTTTCATCCCTGCCTAAAGATACCAATTTTATGGCATACACAAATGACACTGCCTGGAAAAAGTAAGCAATATCAATCCCACTCTATTCTATTCTATGTCAATACATTTCATTTCATTTTATTTTTTCTTCCTCTTGTTTCTCAATAGGACAGGGCAAAGAAGAGTCCCCTTTTTTTTCCTTTTTTTTTTTGAACAATATATATATAGCAGAGAAATTAGGAAGC